GTAATTTGAAGTACTCTTGTTCTTCCGCTTGGGTAAGAAGAGCACTAATGTATATAGGGCGTGGGTCTTCAAGAGTGCCAAGGTTTAACTCTTTTAACTCATCTACTGTTGCTTGCCCCCGTCTTCAAGTGTCTTGGGAGCTTCATCAGTCTCTATTTCCTCGTCGGGATTTGACACCTTTTCAACCGTCACATGGTACGTGGAAACAATCTCCTTATGTTCCTCTATAGCATGGTCTGACGACTCATTTTGGTTAGTGAAAACCACGGTGCGAACTCTTGCCTTTAAAGGTTGTTTCTCAGTGATATCTATGTCTTGCTTTCTTTTCATGCGAGAGGGAACAACACTTTTCGACTCATCATTTTTCATGACATTGTCTTCCCTTTTCTTTATGCAACTAAAAGCTGACTGTCTTTGTTCTTTGCTAGAGCCATTTGTCATGCCTACGCGGTTAAAGACAGATACTTTTTGTCTTAAGGGTTGCGAACTTGAAGTTTCTTTCACCCTATGGTCACATTCTCTAAGCCTATCGAACACTGAGACATGATTCCTCCTAGTAGATGGTTGAAGTCGATCGAATACAGAAGTTCTGGGTGTGGGAACATCGTTCTCACCTTCACCTTCCTTGAGTTCCTCGACGGTAATGTACTGTGAGGAAGAAGCGTCTACTTTACGCCATACACCAATTTTGATTGGTTTGGGGCGCTGAAATCCTAGGCCTGCCTGGATTCTTGATAACTAGAGCCATAGTCAAGCAGTTTTTCTTCTGAGTATCATTGAGTCCGTTAGGTTTAATGTCTATGACCTTACCCATGGGTGTTGGGTTTTCAAAGTCATATCCTACCTTTGCGAGTAGCTTGTATGCATTTTAGCCGAACTTTGCTTTGTTAAGCTCTTTTACCTTAGATGACTCTGTTGATAACCTAGAAATTCGGCTTTGCGCGCCTTTACCCAATGGTACAGTTGTTTTACTCTTCAAGTTTTGGAGAGTAGTGTCATCAATTGGCTTTGCTACCTTAGCATCAAGGTTAACCTCTCGGCACACAAAAGGTGATTCTCCCTCTTTGCGACGTGATTTTGGGATGTATCGCAAAATAGGAGTTGACAACTTTGGCTTTTCTTTTATGACGAGCTGAGAGACACTCTTTTCGTCCATTTCTACCTTTTGTTGAGACTTCTCCTCAGCACGAGATGTCTTTTTGTCATTTGAAACCAAATCAATGCTCTCCTTAACTTCTCTTTTTCCTGTTGAAAGGACTTGGGAAGGTAGTATCTCACTTGACGCCTCTTCTTCTTCAAAAAACTTGGCGTCAGCAAAGTAAGAATCTGCTTTGCTAAAGGGTTTCACATCCCCATTTATCTTCTTTTCGCCTCCACGATAGTACTTGAGACATTGATGGAGGGTCGATGCTACCACACCATTCTCATGCAACCAAGGGCGTCCTAGTAACATTTTGTATGACGTCTTTGTGTCAATCACATGAAAGAGAGTTGATGACGTTAATTCTCCCATTGTGAGTTCTAGGCGTATTATGCCTATTGCACGCTGACTGTCAAGGTTAAATCCTTGGATCACTATGCGACTGCTAGAGAGTTCATCCATCTTGATTCCTAACTCTATCATAGTGGATTTTGGCATGATGTTGACAGCAAATCCACCATCAACTAAAATGCGACTCACTTTTTGTTCACGGATGTACCCTGACACAAACAAGGGTCTATTGTGGGGTTTCGACCCCATTAACAAATCATCATCTGTGAATGCCAAGGCTGCGTTGCACGACACACATTTCGTGGCATCTTCCGCAGGTTCTCCAGCATTTTTTACCTTATCGGCATACAACTCTGGGTGTTGAAGTGCAAGAGATAACTGTTGACACATTTCTTTAGGCAAATGAAAAATTTGCCTCCATCCCATGCGTGAAGGAAGAGCATCCAAGACAGTAGAAATTTTTGGATTTACTATCGCCTCGGATTGTTGTACAACTGATTTTGTTGGTGTATCATCATCAACTTGTTCCTCCTCACTTTCCACAACGGAAACCATATTCGCTGTAACCATAGTAAAATAGTCTTCCGGGAAATATTCCTCCAAAGTTACAGGAGACAACGACTCTTGCTCAAGCAAATCAATATGGAGGACCTTTTGCTTGCTAGCCTTTTTTGCTTTCTTTTTACCCTTAGAATGCTTGGATTTCCTCTTCTTTTGTTGCTTTCTTTTGCGATGAAAAGGTTGCGGTTTAGGATTATGCACTTGTTTCCTTGGCCTTCTTCTTGTCACCAATGTCCACCCTTCGTCATCATCTTCATCTCGGGAGTTAACATGTGTTTGGTGTTCAACCTGGGATGAGACTTCGTGTTGAACAGGTTGACTCTCAACAAGTATGATCACAGGCTCCAAACTTCCAAATTGCAAAGTTTGAGCCTGAAATGATGGTTCGGTAGCTACCGAGGCATGATTTGATGTCACTGGCTCGTCGACATCTAGCTCGATTGTCCCATCCTTTGCCAATTGCATAATTTTCTCCTTAAGTGTTATACACTTTTCAATAGGATGACTGATCAACCTATGATATGGACAATAGTTGGGATCGGATGTCTTGTTCGTCTGCTTAGGGCGCTTTGACTCAGGCAACTCGATGATTTTATTTTCCAGTAATTTGTCTAACATGCCAGACAAGTCAGAGTCTGGGAAAGGGTACTTCTTAGCTTGAAGCTCTTTCAAAGTGGGTTTATCTTTCTTGACAAATCTCGAAGATGAACCCTTACTTTCTTCTTCCCTGAAATTTTGATGGGTGCAGAAGAAGTAGTCACAGACAATGTCTCCTTAGTTGAACTTTTGGAGGACTTGTCATTTTTATAATACTCCTTTTTTTCTTTTCTGGCCTCTGAAGCAAGCCCCTTTTTCTTCCTGTTGTAGGTGATCGAGAGTTCCATGTCATGAGCTCTCGTCGCCAACTCTTGAAAAGATCTTGGTTTGATACCCTTTAGGATGTAATGTAGTTCCCAACTCATCCCATTGATACACATTTCTATGCCGGAAGTTTCAGTGAGTCGATCCTTACACTCCAAACTTAGAGCGCGCCAGCGGTTGATGTAATCAATGACTGGCTCTTCATCCCACTGCGTAGTTTGAGTTAGCTTAGTCATGCTAACGACACGCTCAGGTGCTGAAGAATCTCCCCAAAAACTCCATTTCCATTTGATCCCAACTGTCAATGGACTCAGCCTCTAAGTTGGTGTACCAGTCAAAAGCAGTTCCCTTAAGAGAACGAACGAATTGTTTAACAAGCAAGTCACCCTTGGTACCACCATTGCTGCACGTCTCTATGAAGTATGCAACATGTTGTTTTGGGTTACCCTTTCCATCAAAGAGTTGAAATTTTGGAGGTTGGTATCCAAACGGCATTTTCAACTCATCTATCCTCCTAGTGCAAGGCTTCACATAACGTCGACTATTATGTGAACCTCCCCCTCCAAGTTGGCTCTTGACAGCATTGACTATCATAGCTTGAACTTGTTCAGCAGTGATTAAATTTTGTGCCCCATTTGGCTTTAATTCCGCCGATTTAGTGCTACCATCTAACTGTCATCGCTTTCAATCTCACTCGTTTTTTTCTCAAGTTTCTTTGTCAAAGCAGCAATTTGTTCATTTTGCTGCTTAATTTGAGCATCTTTTTTCCTCCCCAGCTTTCTTCAACTGTCAAGGGTACTGCTCATTTCAGCCAATTGTTGTTCGACCGTCTTAGTGTGCGTCACCATAACAGCAACAAAAGTAGGTTCAGGTGAACTCACACTAAACTCATTCTCATGTCCTTCATAAGAGTGACCGAAGGATGAGTTTGTATGGATGACAGGCTCTAATGAACCAAACACAAGACTCATGTGGTTCATGAGTAGAGGACGTGAGAGATCTCGCAGAAGCAGCAAGACGAGCACGACTTTTTCGTGCTCTGGTTGGGATTGACGCGGCACGCAAGCTTCTTGCGGCGGAGTCAACAACAGCTTGCTTCATTCCTCTAGTAACAATGCCCTCATCAGTTTGGCTGTTAAGCATTCAGCCCTTTGTTAAGCTGTAGCAGAGATCCTTTTGACAACAGGGGTCTTTGAGGCCATTTCAATTTTTTTTGTTTTTTTTTAACGTGCGAAAACAGAGATGAGAGGCAGAGATAGTCCCACCGAGCGTGCCAAAAATTTGTTTACACAAATTTCGAGTCTAAATAAATAAAGACGGGAAATAAAGTAACAAATGAATTTATATTAATATGTGATTTTTTGGGTACAATCTCTGTATAACAGTTTATAATAAAATAAACTAAGTCCTCTGATTCTGTTCCGCAGCTTGATGATGACACGCGTGTGACACCTGTAGGTTGACGTTTGATGACGTCGACTTGAGTTTGAATGCAGGGTGACGTTTGATGATGTCAACCTGTATTTAAGGGTTTTGTTTGAATACACCTGAACGAGGGCTTTGAAGCTTAGTCCCGTTCAAATGTGTTTGAATGTATCTGAACAAGTCGGCACGAGTTTGATATGCTTGTTGACTTACTTCAGAGAGAATTCCGCTTGAGTTTTATAAGCTCTTAGAATAATGATTTCTGGATCCCTTCAACTGATGGAGGAATGGTGTATTTATAGGAGATGAGAACCCCTTGAGTGGACTTAGTAGGTTTGGGCCTGGCCCATTTTATGACTTAAAAGTCTTTTAACCTGGTCCATTTGGCTTATTTTATAACCCGAGTTGTATTTAATTAATTCAGATTATTTATTTAAGTGGGCCAAAATTAATTAAAATGGATCATTCATATGACTTTAACCCAAATTAATTTATTTAATTTAATGTGTGACACATATAAAATTTCCGTGTCTACAGTCAGACCTCGCAAAGGTTGGATTTTTAGATTCCATTTTTCCTAATAAATAAATAAATAAAATAATCTTACTCAATAAACAACATAGTAATGGAGGCATAATAAAGGCTTGAAAAAAGAACAAACCTCAAGCCTATGAATGGCTTTTGCAATATGCCAAAGAGAGCTTGTATCAGCATCAGCTAGGCACTCCTAAACCACCACAAAGGGAAAGGCTAAAGGAAACGTCCATTATACTACAAAACATATATTGGAAGCATTACACAAGCAAGCCTATTACCTTGTATGCAAAGTCAAGTTCAAAAGATATCACATCCTCGTCAAGTAGAACCATGTATAACGGGTATTCTCCAATAGTAAATAAATCATGTACTTTTTCCTCTTTCAGTATCTGAACTCAAAGAAAAGAGTAGAGTTTAGATTACACATTTATATCTCCATAACGGCATATAATCACATGGTAACCATCATACTATAATATTTTAAAAGTATATAAACTAACAAGATTTCAGCCCGAAGTTTAATACATTGCAAATTTGCAATAGAATAAACAAGAAAATTGAGAAGCTAAATGCTAGCAGTGTTGTATGTAAATAATGTAATCCATTTTCACCATCACCTCTCTCTAGCCCCCACATTCAAATCAAAAGAAAGAAGAAAGTACCTGTTCGCATGCCACAGAACGCCGAGGAACAAAGTAAAGATGGTATTCCTTTTGTAATCCCTTTGATGTGTTGTCATGAATATGCAGGGATATATGTCTCATCATTTCAAGTTGATTACACACAAGGTACACCACTTTCGTGCATTCTGTTTGTAGAGGTTCAGCTGATAAATGTCGCAATTCTACCCCATGTTCCTGACCCAGAAGTCATTAGACAGCTTAGTATCAACAGAAGTTACACATGCCAACCAACTGAATAAACTATAATCAATTTTGCTTTTCACATAAAGTTCTAGAAATATTGTTCATTTTCTCTACTGTATAAATATTTTACATCAAGAGGAACGACATTTGCGTAACGGATATACCTATCGCAAATAAAACAATCAGACACCCTGTTGTGTGGTTTTGTGATTTCATTTTCCTCCATATTATCATTAAAAAAAAGGGCAACAGTTTGGTTAGAGCCATATTTCTTCATTTCTAATCCTACACCTCTACTCCTCTTTCCCTCTAAACTACTTTAAGGCCCTGTTTGGTTTGATGTAAAAGGTTTTCATGGAAAATGAATTTTCCATTTTTTTCCCAATTTCCTTTGTTTGGTTTGTTAAGGGTGGAAAACAATTTTTCCAAGAGTGAAAAATTTCATCCTTAATAATGGAAAACATTTTCCTTCCCAAAACAAGGAAAGCCACATTTTCCTCTCTCCTCCTTACCTCTTTTTTTTACTTCCCTCTCATTCATCCTTACATTTTCACTCTTATTTTTTATTTTTCTTAAACTTTACTTGTATGCAACCAAACAAAGGAAAACTAATTTGCAATTGTGTTTTTCCTTGAAAATATGTTTTTCATGAAAACTAATTTTCCATTGAAAATATTTTAAATTAAACCAAACGGGGCCTAAGTTTTTTAGCATACGTGAGTTCTCATCTGAGATCTGACCAAAACTTCAAATAGAAAGTTACAGCTCTTGTTGTTAGTTGTAATTAATATAATTTAAAATCATTTATAAAGTATCGAAACCTTTTTTTTTTTTTTTTAAAAATAAAATAAAATAAAGGTTTATTTTTAAATTACCATCCAAAAATGTAACCATTTTCGAACTAACCACCCGTTTAATTTTTTATTTTAAATTACCACCCCTTAAATTAAATAAATGCTCAGATTACCACCCATTTCAAAACTCCGTTAGATTTTCAGTCTGTAGGGCCCACCTAACACTTATTTAAACCATTTTGATTTATTTTTTCCCTAATTTTTCTCTTTAAAAACGCTCTACATACTTTAATTCACATTTCCATCACCAAATTCAACCAAATTTCAAAGAGAAAAAATGTGAATTGAAGTTAGGAGAGCTTTTTTAAAGAGAAAAAACGGGGAAAAAATTAGTAAAAAGGGTCAAATAAGTGATAGGTGGGGCCCACAAACGAAAAATCCACCGGATTTTGAAAATGGGTGGTAATCTAAGCATTTATTTAATTTAAAATAAAATTTAATGGGTGGTTAGTTTAAAATTGGTTACATTTTTGGGTGGTAATTTAAAAATTTTCCTAATAAATAATAATATATAAAATTGCAAAATCTGTATAACAGTAACAATAATGATAGTCATTATAGCAAAGATTTCAAGGCTAAACCAAGCTCCCAGATCAGTGAAAACAGGACCTTGAATTGATCAATTGGAAAATCTTAATTCAAAAACAAACATCAAGCTATTCTAACAAAATTTTCTCCAGAAATATACTCATACTTTGATATATGGAATTTAAAAAGTTTAGAACCTCAGATTTCTATACAAATCAACAAGACATAATTCGAAGGAAAATACATTCAACTATCATTTGAATGGTAAGTCCAAATACTGTTGAATGACAAACGACAAATTCCAAATCATCAATGGACACCACAATTGCCACTAGACTAATACCAAGACTGATAGAGATCTTTATAAAAGCTACGAGACATGCCCTTAAGATTGACAAAACTTCTGCAAGTTTGCGGCATTATACAGCCCCCAACTCCAACACAACCTCCTACATCTCTCCCTCTATAAATGCATTCTCCACAAGTCCACATTCCCTAGATGGTTATCGAAATTTATAATGATCTATGTACTTGTGTTTCTTAGCAATATTAAAAAATCTAAGGTTTTTGTATATATCCTTCTAAACCAAAGTGATCAGCTAGGAAAATGTTTGAGATACATCACGATTAAAGAAAAAGCCGGTATCCTAATTGATAGTGACAAAAAAGACCAAAATAATTTAACAAAGAAGGAGATATAATAACATGAGTTACCTTAAGAAGTGCAGTCTGGACAATAAGTGAAAGAGAGCCACTGAGTTTTGGATCAATGACGAGACATTTTTTTCCGCGAATCTGTGAAACACAAGTAATGAACAAAGTATTAACATTATCTCAAAAACAAGCTTTTTGTTGAAATGATCAATACAAAGAAACAAGACTTATCGCGAACACCAATAGAACTCACATTTTTAATAATCGTTAACAACTCCTTCTGTGACTGTTCTCTGTATACAACAGACATTTAAACAAACAATCCATCATCATATATGGAGGAAACAATAACAAATTCCGAAATTCGACGAAACACGAATAATTAAGTACCTGAGAGAAGCTAGATTAATTGCAGCATTATCTAAATTAGGAATTTGAGCCATTGAAGCAAGGAATTTGATCCCCTCTCAATCAAATACTGCAGCAATTAGAAAACCAATTCATCTAAATACTGAATATTAACTTATATAATTTCCAATAAATTTCAACAAAATACAACATTTTAATCTGCAAATTAACAGTAAACAAACTCAATAGTATTTGATTAATTGATTACTGAACTAAATAATTGTTGATGATAAATTCAGTTGAATACTTTATAAGTAAAATGCAGAGAGAAAAGGAGAGACTAATTTGAAATTGAGTGAAAATTATGATGCAAAATTGAAAGATTAACCTGAGAAAAAATTCAGCTAATTGGATGAATCAATTAACTTGGATTGAAGGGTGAGTTGGAGGAGAGAGAAAGAGATTTTTCGGCCCTTGCCACCGTGATTTATCGCCGGTGTAGCTGTTGTTCCGTTGTTCGTCGTGACTACACCAATCGTGTTTTTTTTTTTTTTTTTTTTTTTTTTTTTTTTTTTTGTTTGGGCATAGGATGGGTTTTGATAGTTTGGGATCTTAAAATCGGTCCAGCCCAGTTTATCTTATTGATTAACAAAATTGTATCTCAAATTGTTTCAATATCTTGTGGGTCAAATATTTAATAATTCAAGCCCAATCATTTATTGGGCCCAAGCTTAACCCTATACTCTCCAGTTGTTAATACCTGGTCTCGAAACTAGGCAGAATTGGTTGGTCCCTCTGTTAAAAATGAACATTTACCCAAATAAAAATGAACGTTTTTTAACTAACTTATTTTACATTAATTTTGTATTTCTCAGTAATTAAATGTTCATTTTCATGCAGTATGATGTTCATTCGTAAAAAATAAATGTTCATTTTCATGTCGTTTGATGTTCATTCTTATAAAATAAATGTTCATTTTCTTTACTATGATAATGTTCATTAGATGTACAATTTTTTTTTTCAGTTTCAAAGTCTCTTTATTTTATTCTTATATTATAAATATTCATTTTTATATGTTGCACCTTCATCATTAACATTCTCAGAATTATTCCTTTCACTATCATTATTCTCAGCGCCATCAACAATTATGTCATTACCAGCTTCTCCATTAGAGATTTTTCTTCTAATCCTCCACTTTCTTCCGCCATAGAAGAAGTAAGAGCTTTAATACTCGCAACACCAGATGCATTATTTCACCGGCGAACAGAATCACAATAATTCGCCGCCATCGTCGTTGTCATCACCGTCGCACCGATAATCTCCGCGCGATTCCGAGATCGCCATAGAGTAAAACTTGATTTCCAGAAATTTCCTTAAATAATTAAATGCTCATTTTTTTCTAGTAAATGATCATTTTGTTTCTTGTAAATGTTCAATTTTATAGTGCGGGACTGGCCAGCTATGGGTGGTCTCGAGACCAGGGAAAAATTTGCGCTATACTCTCTACTCTATAAATACCTCTCAAAACCCCAAAATTTTCCCACACAAAGAGGCTCAAGAGTCATATTGGGGTAAGTATTATTGTCTTTTATTTTTCCTTTATTTCTTTTCTTCCTTTCTTTTTCTTTCTTTATTCTTTTTCCTTATTCCTCCTTTTTTTTTCTTTCCCACGTGAACATGAGTTCACGCACTCATGGTCGCGAGATAGCCGGTGCCACCTCACCATTGTTGCTACCACGTCACCCCATCCCCCTGCCACATCACCACCGGCCGGCCACCACCCACGGTGGTCTTCTTCTTCTCTCTCCTCCTTGTGTTTAAATCTTTGGTTTTAATTTAATTCATGTTTTTATACATTTTTGGGTATTGATTTTAATTGCCTAAACATGATAAGTGTTTTGGGTGTTTTTTTCCCTCGGGAGAGTTACAACACGAAGACTGATCCGGGATGAGCTGTACCTGCAAAACAAACGAAGACACCTGTTGGGTGGTGCTCCGCCTCCAACGATCAAGTTAGTAACTTGAAAAGGAATAAAGAGTACAGAAATTTAGGTGGGTATCTCCTCGGATTCCAAGCTCAGGTGTTTCTCTGATGTAAGAGAATGCAGGTGTATTAAATGATAAAAACGTTGCCCTCAAAATGAGGGATATCTCCCTATTTATAGGGTCTTTGGGAATTGTGCCCATGATTAGGTCACTGAACCCTAATCATTGGTGGGTTGCGCCGTTTTGCGGCATTCTCGGGATTTGGGCCTGAAGGCCACCTTTTCCCTTGATTTCTGGAATGACACGTGTCAAGCAGGGATTGGTTCATTTTAGACCAATCGGGGGCTGACATGTGTCAGCTTCTTATTGGACCACGTGGCAAGGTGAAATTACCCTAAACATTTGCCCCTCACAGATGTGACGTGGCACGCCACGTGGCATTTGTGACACATGTCACGCTCCCGCTGGCGGTAATTTTACCGTTACAGAGTAACCGTTCACCTTCCGGGTAAATTACGGTAATGCCCCCATATTTACCCTCTATATATAGCCGTTTTACCCTCATAATTTTGTACGTTTACAAAAAATTTCTAGAGAGAAAAACTTCGAGAGAGCAGAAGTCATCCGTTTGAGTCAGGCGCGAGCAAGAAACTTTGTTCTTCCGCAACCCAGCCGGACCCGCCTTCCTTCAGATATCAAATCCAAAGGTACTGTCTCTGTCTCTCTCAGCTCTTTTCTTTTTTCACCGCTTGTACATATTTCTTGCAATAAATGGATGCATCACCAACACACACGGCACAACCTAGGTTAGAGTCCAGCCGGTCACCAGGGACGGCTGAGTCTAGGACTGGGAGTGCTGGCTCGGGGTGTTGGGACCACCCTTTGCCATGGATTCCGACCAGTTATGTGTCTGTGCAAGACACCATGGCTCAGACAATGAAGACGGCCACTGATCCAAATTACAGAAGCGAAGGCTCAGGCGGCCAAACGCCTGAGGGAGAAACGTCTGGTCAGGGAGACCAGACGGCTCTGGAGAGATCCCCTCCACGCGCCCCTTCAACCCCTACTGACTCTTTCTTGGAAGAGTGCAACCAAGGCGGCGACGAGGTCGCCTTTGCCCCCATAGACCAAAGCGAGGGGGAGACGGAGAGCGACAGCTCCGCCTCTACCTCCGAGAGCAGCGATGACTTGCCCCCTCTTCCGGATAGCGAGGAGGAAGAAAGGAAAAAGTGGAGTGAGAAGGACGATCCCTTCAGCATCCACGTCTCCTCCAAGGACCGAATCCAGATGGGGGAGAGCTTAGAGAACTTTAAGAAAATGCACCCGCTTGGAGACGGGTATAAGATCCGGGTGCCGCCTGAGCTGGGCACCATCGCCTGGGGGGATGATCAAGAGAACGCCAACAGCTATTTTGGCTGTTACGAGGCACGTTCAAAGCTGGTCTTCGCTTCCCCCTTCACCAGGCGGTAAAGGCAATTTTGAGAGGCTACGGCCTTGGGCTCTGGCAACTTACCCCCAACTCCTGGACCAACATTCTGGGGTATGTTGCCGCCTGCGAGTTCCAAGGGCTTAACCCCGGCTGGGAGGCTTTTGCAAGCATGCACTACCTCAATAGGAGCCCAGGCGGCTAGAGGGCGTGGTATACTCTAACCACACAGCCACAATACATGATGACCTTGGACAAGGTATCCAAGTTCGATGGCTGGAAGCACAGGTTCTACCTGATGTCAGCCCCAACTAGACGGGAAAATTATGAATTCCGTCTGTACAATAAGAAGCCTGACTTGTTGGGCAGGAAGTGCGCTCTTCCCCGGATCCCAGAGGAAGACTTTGACAAAATAATCGAGGCAGATTTTTTCGGCCTCACAGACGCAACACTGTCAACCGGGGAAACAATAAAAGTCCCTAAGAACTGGATTCCCAAGAGCGCCTGGTTCAGGGATGAATGTTTCTTAGCCGCCTGTGGGCTAGGGCACATGTTTAATAAACGTATGCACCTGAGTTCATACCGTATGTAGTATTTTTCTATCGGAATTGATTTATGATTTTGACCAATTTCTTTCTTTTTGCAGAAGAAGCACTAAACATGCTGCAAACGGAGAAAACTCCCAAGCGGTCTTCTGAAGCCATCCGCAAAGAGCTTGCGGAGAAAGCTGCGGCCAAGCTCAGGGCCAAGGTATTGAGCGCCTGACCCCTTCTTAAGTTTAGTTTAAAAACTATCTTGTCCGGATACTAACCCTGACTTGTTTATTTTCACAGGGGGGAGAAGTTGGGAAATCGTTTGAGAAGAGCCTCAAACGGGCTAGAGAGGAGGCCCCAGCCGCTCTTAACAAGATAAAAAAGTCCGCCTCTGCGTCAACTCCTGGCGCCTCAGCCGGGGCTAAGACGATGTGGATAGCTGGGCGACTCGAGAAGGTAGGCGGCAGCCTGTGCCTTGATCTTGCCAACCCCTCAGCAGCCGCGGGGTTCACCACGCCTGCAAGCGTTTCCCGCTTGGCCGGCTCTGAAGGTAAGAACCCTTTTGAATCCCTACTTGAGCTGAGGTGGCCTTTACGGGTGAAATCCCACTCCTAACAGACGTCATCCTCAGACGGCCGGCTAATAAGAATTTAAAGACTATCATCGAGAAAATGACAGAAAATTATAAGGATTGGCCTGACAAGCTTCACTTTGCATTGTGGGGTTATCGCACGTCAATCCGTACGTCAACAGGAAATACACCATTTTCTTTGGTATATGGAATGGATGTCGTACAACCTGTCGAACTAGAAATACCATCTCTATGTATTGCGCTAGAAAGTAAACTCGATGAAGTCGAATGGACTAGGGCACGATATGAAGAATTGATCCTACTCGACGAAAAACGACTAGAAGCTCTACATCACACTCAGTGCTATCAAACTCGTATGGCTAGACATTTTAATAAGAAGGTCAAGACAAGAAATATCAAAATAGGAGATTTGGTATTAAAAGCGCTAAGGAAAAATGTTTTAGATCCAAGGGGAAATTTTAGACCTAATTGGTCTAGCCCCTACATTGTCAAAACAATCCTGTCAGGTGGTGCAGCAAAATTAACTGACATGGATGACAATGAATTCTCTAACATGACCAATCTTGACCAACTTAAAAAATACTACCCATAATTACTTGAGTAGGACACTCAAGAGAGCTACGTTCGGCCTGATTCCTTAGGAAAGGATACGTAGGCAACCCATTACGGGTGCGACCACTTTATTTTTCGACATCTCCGCGTTCCAGAATCAACAAAAGTCAACAAAAAGTCGGAAAATTATTGGCGTCACAGAACAGAGTCTAGCGCCAGCCAAAAGCCATTAGCGCCAGACGACGGTATTGGCGCCTGGCGCCAGACCTCAATAGCTGGCGCCAATATGCAGTTACTGACGCCAATTCAGTCATAAAATCTGGGCGAATTTCGGTGTTTTTTCGGAAAATTTTCGACTTCCGTACTCGAAGAATTTATGGAAAATTAATTTTTTCGATTTTTCATTGCTTTAATAAAATAAATTTAAAGTAACAATTTAATTGAAAGCTGAAATTTCAAAAAATTGCATTGTCAATGGAATTTAAATAAGGCTGAAATAAATTAACTTTAAATAAAAAATTAACAATCTAATAAATCTAAAGCTAAGCAATGTTCTAGTCTTTCTTCTCCTTCTTTGCCCTTTTCCAATTCTTTTCCGTTTCCTCCTCTTCATCCATTGCTTTAGCTAGTAGGCATCCTTTAGAGGACCTACATTCAATTTTAGAATAGATTGTTTCTCCTTCAGCTAGCACCCCATGCTTCTTTTCCACCCAAGCCTTCTTGTC